GACACTGTGAAAAAACAAGGCCACATTACCTGTGGCTGACACACAGCACTATCCTTTAAAGTGTCAGCTGCATCCTTATGCAAAGGTGCAAGAAAATGTTTTATTAAGAGCTGAATTTGCTTTATTATTAACTCTTGGGGTTTTGCTGGCTCCTTAGGAAAATCAGTAGAACAATGCCCTTCTCATCAGGATGCTGCCTTCTCAAAAGGACAGTAAAATCACAGCATCTCTTGCAAATTCAAAATGCTTATTTAAAAAACATTTTATTCTAATTTATGTTCTCAGTGTTTTCAATGTTTTTGACATCTTTGGCATTAAATCAGAGGCTGAATACTGTAATTTCTCCTGTTTTCCCAGTAAGAACTTGGTTAATGATTAAAGTCTTTGGCAGGGAGTGGGCAAAAATTAATGCATTAACAACCTAGCAATGAAATCAAAGTGAATTAGAGTAGCATTATCTAAAATAAATTATATTTTGTTAGTACTATGTAATGTTCTTTTAACTGATGACAATGATTTATTTCTACTTAGATGAAAGATGAAACTAATCAGTGAATTGCTGGATAGATGCTTTGTTAAATTAGTCCCATATTCAATTGGGAGTCTTTAATCTATTGCTTTGTGTGCTTATTTGTCATTGAATTTGCAGTGGGATTTGCAGGTTCTTCTTTTGTTTACATGAATATGAACTAGAACATCTTAATTGATTATCGGTGGAGTTTCATTGTTTCAAACCAGGGAAAATGAGACAATGGGGCCTTTCCATCTTTGGTTTATGTTTGGAGATGCCTTTTAAAAACGAGCTTACAAAATCCTTTTAAGAATTATGTGAAACTTACTTTTAAAGGAAATTCATTCTGCTTTTTTCCAATATGCAAGGTGTTTTTAGTTAACAGTATTTGCAAATTCTGTGGTAACAGCTGCTTAAAAATGGGGATGAGTTGGTCATTTATTTTTACATTTTCTCTGTTACGCTAGATGAACTGATGCTGTGCTCTTTTTCCTAGCCCACCCACAAGACTCTGGCTGTTCATTAAAATTTTATGAATGAAGAAAATAACAAATGTGTTGACAATGAAAATAACAGCGTTTCAGGAAGCTAATACTGATGGAATTGCTTTTGTTACAACTTTACAGCCCAAGTCAGCATTTGTTAGACCAGCTTACAATTCTAAGGAGAAAAACAACTTGAGCTTTTTGTGAGCATCCAGCATGAACGACAGCTGGGTCCTCACAATGTAAGAATTTATATGCTGTTAACTATGAACTGACAATTTGCCTAGCAAAGAGTTACGCTGTGGGAGGTAAAGAAGGAAAACATGAGAAGGTTTTTGTAAGTCCTGTGAAGCATATTTTGACAGTAATAGAAACCTAGAAGCAAACTTGGGTGTACTATATAGTATCATCTCCAAATAGCACCATCACCTTAAAAATATAACACTCTTGATTGAAAATTGCTTCTTACTGAAATTACAAGTAATGCCCAAGTCTATTTTACAAAAAAGTAAAATTCTTTTAATTCTGGAGCAAGTTGTAGCATTATTCTAACCCTTCAACCCCAACATAATATTCAAAAAAATCTGAAGGCAGATCACCCACACCATGAAGATATTATAAGATCACTTGGCATGAGGAAGCAAATCATTACTGGAGTCATCTTTGGTGTTTTTTACCCTTAGAAGAAAAAATGACTCCAGGTTTTGGTAATTAATTAAATAATAAAATCAACTTTAAATCCACAGTGAATACCCTGAAAAGCCAGTGGTAAGAACAGCTAGAGGATGCAGGGAAATATCTTGGAAGCCCACTAGTGATGTGGGAAGCTAGTAACAAGCTGAGTAAATCAACTGTGTGTTAGGGTTGGAACTACCTTTTGGTTAATTATGTTGCAATTTTACTTAAGCTGTTTGTACCTCCTATTTTGGGTGGCCCAAAGGAAGAAATGAGCTGAACGCTTACGGAAGTCACAGAATGAAGCCCACAGCATTTTAGCTTTGAAGTGCCTTTCTCTGTGCTATCTGTCCCACGCGCACCTTTTGGATGTGGAGGGGAGGGAAGTGTGCCGTCACACTCAACTCCCTGCAGCAGGTCGGGTATGCTGCTGCTAACTAGATTACAGGATGATGATTTCCTAACAATTTCAAAGCCCAGGAACCTGTTTCTTTGAAAGAGGGAAGAGAGAAATGCCTTTTGTAGAGAGAAAAATGAGCCATGTGTTTCATAGTCGCTGATGGGCAACATTTGAGCCTAAGACTTGTATGATTTGTGTAAAGTCAGGCAGTTTGTTTGAACAAGGAGTCTCAAGGCAGAGTTCCTGAAATGCCCCTGCAGTCTCAGCAGTAGTACAGATCTGTGATGCAAATGTTTGAAGAAAAGTCATATGCAAGATAACAAATGCAGGTTTCTCCCAGGTCATCCTAAGCAATTGCTCTTGATTAAGCTCAAAGCAGCTGAAATCTCTCCAGGCAGCAGGGACACTTAATCCTTAGGCCTTTACAACCCCTTGCTCCACCCCGTTATGGTACTGGAATTAGGTCTTCTGCATAATGTCTGTAGAGAGTTTGTAAGTATGGTCTTCTGGAAAATGCACCTGTTGAACATTTTAAGCTAAATGGTAGTATGTAGACTCTGTCCAATGTCTGTGCCATGTCCTGAACTTTTAGTGCTTTGCTGAGGGAGGCAAAAACTTCTGTGGGCTCTTGTGGGCATGGTGGCTTTTCACAGAGAATTGTGTTCAGTCTGGTCTTCCTCCAATGTCCATAGAACGAGTGGATTTCTTAACAGGTTAGATAGAGGGACAACTGCTGTGGTGATTATATCTGCCCCTTCTACTTTTCTTTGGCTCCCTCAAATCACCCTGGCAGCTCTTATCTTGTTCTTTTGTTTTCTGGACTCTCTGAAGGACAAGAGTTTCAAAGCTTCACAGGCTTTTAGAAACAAAAATATGTATGCAAATGACCACTAATATTATCATGTTTGAGCCTAACAGGATATAAGCCTCCCTTGAAGGACAGCAAACCATCTCGAGCAATATCAAAGGATGTTTGCAACTCACAGAATTTTGGAGCACTTAGTAACTCCTAATATTTATTTTGGGGGTCTAAAGCCACTCAACATGTACTAAAGCCACAGAATTTATGTGACAGAGTGTCCTCAACTCATAAAAGCAATAGTTAATGGCTGCTGCCTTTGCCTGTGATTTGACACAGCCTTGCCTGCGTATAACTAGCTGTGTTGGAAGGAACTCTGATATACCTTGAATAAGAAAGGTACTGCTATTTATAAAACATCTCTTCTACATTTCCTCTGATTCTCATCCCCCCCACCCTCTCTTTACTGAGTACGTGAGCTCTCATTTGGTCAGGGTCACCTCAGAGATGAGATGTCCTTTGAATTTCAAGATACGCTCCTCATTCAATTACTGTGTAAATTAAAAAATATTCTTGAGAAGGTGGATGCAGTACAAGAATACAGCTGCATTCTTAGCATTGCTCTGCCATGCTATCACTGGGTTCTTACCAGTGGCAGGGCCTCAGGAAACTAGAATTTATTTTTCTGCTTTAGCATATCTTAATCCAGAGTTAGGATAATCAAAATGCTTTAATGTTTTTCATTAGAAAGCAGGTTGTGGCTTTATAGTAGCTGAATGGAATCTAGTTTGCTGAGAAAAGAAGATAAAGCAAATAAAACTAAGGAAGAAAAGAAGTAAGACAGTATAAATAAGTCCTAACAAATACAGACTTTGTGCTATAATGATGGGTCTGTTTTCTGGACCATGTACACCGTTGCAATGCCTGGTAAATATGTGATGCAATGTTAGACATTGCTCTGTATGTGTAAGTGAGGACAGATGCTGCTGCCTCTCTACCTTGTCCTCCTGCAGAGCAGGATTGTTTTGCGATGCTGCATCCTTTCATTGTGGCATCTGCATTCTCGGAGGCCTGTGCAATAAATTCTGTCTCTACTGCAAAGTCAGGTTTTGACAGGTTTGATAAATAAAAAATCCCTGCACAATTTTTTTGCATGAGGAGAATATTAACTCTTGCATTGTGGACAAATTCCATTCTCTAACTAAATCACACTGCTTTAAATTCACATCTTTTCACCATCCTTTGCTTTTTTGTATATGCTGGGCTGCACTGATGCACTGTGTGCTGTTTAAATGACTGTCCTGACCTCACTAAAGGTGAATGACTTGGCACCAACAGGAAGATGTCCCACCCGTGGTTTTGAGATCCTCTGTAATGAAGAAGACTATATAGATCTAATTTATTACTGTGTTTGATGCATAAGATAGCATGACAATTTGACCTTGCACTTTTATGCCTTGCTAATCAGCTTCAAGAGATCCTTAGTTAAAATGATCCCTTTCTAATTGTAATTTATGCTGTGTCTGGGCAGCTGAGCGTTTAAGAAGCTGCTGTCAAGCTCTAAATATCTTTGCCTAAGGCTTCAGAGTGACTCGTCCCAGTGACACAACCATGGAGGGAGCCAGGATGACTCCTGATTCCCAGTGCCCTTCTGTCATCACCTTGTTCCCTGTTCCTTCCTTCCCCAGAGCTGTCTTTTGTATAATCAGCTCAGGAAGGTGACTTTCATGTGTTTTTTTTTGTTTTGGTTTGTTTTTGTTTTTTTTTTTTTAATTTTTAATTTTTTTTCCTGGTTATCTTACTTCCCCTGTGTCCTTGCAGCTTGTCTAGAAGGCTCATTCTGACCTGACTGCCTGACTTTCAGGACTTTAGGCAGTTTTGGTTTTGCATAGATGTTGTTATTTTCTGTATCACGTTTGCTGCGTCCTGGTTTGGGGAGTGGGGATAAGACTTGTCCTACATCTACTTACTAGCTAATTTCTGTACTTTCTTTTTTTCCCCCTAGCTTCTAATTCTCCCTTTTCTTTCATCACTTTGAGCCCTGCCAGCTCCCTGGGTTTTCCAGGAGTGGCTGCTACAAAGATGCGTGTGTTCTCCTCTGTAAAACCGGTCCTTGTTTTGTGTTGCTAGGCTACTCCTTTCCAGCTGCCACTGAAGAAATGCTCCGTGGTGGGAAACGGTGGGATCCTGAAAAAGAGCGGCTGCGGCAAACAAATAGATCAAGCAGATTTTGTCATGCGGTAAGACAGAAACCTCAATGACACATTGTCTCCCCTTCTCCCTGCTAAGTCTTGGAATTTTCAAAGCTATTCAGTTGCGATTAATCAATTATAATTTGCCTTCTTTCCCCCCAGCCCCCACCCCTTTGTAGGATGCTTTACACAAGTGAGTTGGCTAAAATTGTGAGGAGAGGCATAAAAGCGAGTTTTGACTGGCTTCTGCAAATGGGTGTGTAGTGTGGGGGGCAATCTGCAGATGGATGGGTTAAGGTTGTGATAGATTGGGCAGTGTCATAGAGAGGGACTAAAGAGCTGGTTTTCTCTTTAACTGTGTAATCTTAGGCAGTGTCTCATCCTGCAGTGTGCTCTGTCCTCTGCAACTCTAAATGCTGTCATATGCAACCCATTGAACTTGAGATGAGTAGGTACTGACTTATGGGCCAAGGTTTAAGGAGTTATTTGGAACAAACTAAAATGTTCCTATGTTTTTCTTCCCTCAAGACTGATTTCTGGCTGAGTGTCTGAGGAAAGCCCAAACTGCTTTTCTTGTTGCATGTTTTTTGGGATTCCTCACATTTCCTTTCCCTCCAGCCTTCCTGAAGTTATAAGAACCTGTCAGGAGGGATGTTGAACCAGCCACTGCTTTTGTGTTTGAATCTGGCACTTTCTAGGTCTGCATTCTTTAAGGAAGAAAGACAGAAATTAGTTCCTCCCTGTTAAACACGAACAAGAATGACATTGTGGTGGAGAAACTGGAGGAATGCTCCCAAAGAGATGAGAAATTAAGTTTCTTTGGGTTTTGAGATGGATACACAATAGACACCCACTTTAGCAAGTCGTCTTATTAGGTCCTGATGGCATATTATAAAGCCATACAAATTTGCTGCAAACCAAACGGTATTAATGTAGTTTCTGGTTTGCATCTCAAAGACCAAAAATACCTTCAATGTTAAAGCAAAGAATTACAACAAACCAAAGGCAAAAGGAAATGTATACTTAGATCATTCACAGAAGAGTAGATGTAAGGCACAGGGGAGAGAGGCAGTTTGCTGATTGCCATTACTGCAAAACTGCTTGGGTGTTCCACAGACTAAATGTAAGAAACTGCAGGGTATATACCGTGGTAATATTATCTCAATGCAGTAGGAAATTTACATGCTGCAGGAGCAATCAGTTACAGAAACAATAGAAACTTTTTTAAAAAAACAGCAGTTGTAGCTTGATCAGAAAAATCCTTTTCTCTCCAGGGAGGGTAAAGCAACCATTATCTGTACAGAACTTATTTTGAATTGGAAATAAGTGATATGGAGAATCCTGCAAAAATCCCAGTAGCTGCCTGCAGGCTCTATTGTATTAGTGATGTACAGTCATATTTGTGGAAAATGTTTCAATTCTTTTGGGTTAGAAACTAATACACCACTGGGAGAAAATATTTTTATAGCAGGTGGAAGACAGGATTTAGTTGATCTTTCTAAATCTGATTTCTATAATCTGAGAGCTGAGAGAGAAAGAGCACAATAGTGACTTGCATAATATCTTTCATGTTTTTAAAAAATAAATTTGTGTAATATCATTAAAGTATTTCTTCAAGGTGAAATGTCATGCCAGGTTTTGCCCTTGTTCTTTTCTTCCTTTCACATGGTTTTTAATTTCACTTACATGTACTTCCATTAACTCTGTCATATGACTGCAGCCATCTTCTCTGATAAATTGTAATCACTAAGGTTAATTAATGAGTTTAAACTCATCTTGTTGCTGAGCATCTTCTACAAACACAGTTGTACCAACACAGAGATTAAAAGAGCAGCAGTTTTCAGCCCCTAAGGCATAGCACACTGCATCTGCAATGAAAAAGGTGCATGGTATATGGTCTACGTGTTTAGGTAGTGTGGTTATAATAGGTTCTTCTCCTGAACCTGTCTGGTTTTCAAGTTTGTAATCCTTATTTCTAATAAAAAATGTTAATTTGACCTTCCCTTCCTGCTAATGCTTATTTTAAGAGGTAAGTGTTGGGTACTAAACCCTAAGCAATGTTAGTGTATGCATTTTGACAGAAGAAATACATTTTCTTGGCATTAGATTTTGAAGAAATATTCCTACATCTCACAATTCTCCCTTTCCCCAGCCACTTTCCATGGCTCTGTGGTGGTTTGTACATCTCCCAGAGAGAAGGTTTCTCTCTGTAAAATAGTAGGGGATTGCAGGGACTTCTCTGAGCTGTTTGCTGGTAAACTTATTTCAAAACTAGAAGCAACTTGTCACTATTTCAAGTGACTAGTGGCTGTCCCAGTTTGGGGAGGCCAAGCTGTTACCTTTTCATCACACTGTACCATGCTATCTAGCCATACTATCCCAGGTGGAGCTGGGGAGGTTAAATACGGTGGCACTTTGGGGATTGTAATCAAGTCCAGAGAAACATGGCTTTCAGCTGCCTTATGTGATTATTGTCTTGATGTTGGCCAAGGTGCCACAAAGGAATAAAAATGAATGGTTTCCATTACATATTAAATTCCTATTAGTCCCTAGTGTTTAGTCTATGTGTGTATATAATATTCTAAAATAGCTAGATAGTCATATAGTATCTACCAAACGCACATCCATCTGCCAGATTGCCTGGGTTCTCTGCACCTGTGGAGCATGGTCTGGGCCAAACCCAGAAGAGCCATTATTCAGCCTGGTGAGGGTTGAAGGATCCCTCTCATTTTACCCTTGCAGCTGTTTTCTGTGTATTCAGTTGGAAGGTCTCAGGTGTGAAAAAGGCACACTGCTGTGCCTGTTGATGATTTATTTTTTTTTTCCCCCACCTAAAGGCTAGGTCTAAGTCATTAAACTTAGTCATTAGACTTCTCTTCTTCCATATAAAAGACCAATATGTTCCACTCTTCGAGTTAAGCTCATGTCAAAAATGCTGGCCTGAATTGCTGTCCTGGTACTTCCTTCTTCCTTGCATATTCATGTATGTACTCCTCAGTACCAGGACCAAGAATATGGTCATTAAAAAGACCTTTCTTAGGATACATCTTTTGTTTCTTGATGTGTTCCTCAACTGCATAATATTTGGAACTCAGATGACCTTGTTCAAGAATATAATCTGAAAGGCCAAGAAGTTTCTGTCAGCCAACTGATTTCTTGCTGAGTTTACTGTGGATACTCAGGCCACTTCGTAATATTTCATGCAGAAGAAGCTGGGAATGAGACTTACTGATGAAAAGAATTAGATGTGTTTAAATAATGTATCTGGGACTGGCTTGTGAAAGAAATGTCGTTGTTGAGATCTTAAGATGATAAAAACTAGGAAGAGTTCCTGGTCCTTCACAGTGCTTTTAAATAAACTTCAAAAAAAAAAAAAAAGGCTTCTTAAAAGCTTGCTTTATGAGTTTGTTTCTTCAAATCAAAGAGCATTAAACTGTAGTCTGCCAGAGGTCATTTATGCTATCTCTCTGCTCTAAGGCAAATCACCTATGTCTTGCTTCACATTTGTTTGGCCTGCCATTGAAAACTGCTACTGAGAGGGTTTCTGAAACCTCTCTGAATTGTATTAATATAATTCATTTGTATCCTACCCCAGTGCAGGTCCATGAAGCAACTCATTGCTGCCTTTATTTATTTAGTTTTATTTTATGTAAATCTTTCTTGACTTTTTTTTTTTTTTTTAATTAGGGTCTTATCATTCTTTATGTCTGGGAATTAAACTTCCTCTATGCTACTAGTCTTTTCTTTTTTTTTTTTTTCTTCTCACTGATTGCATTTTCTGAAACCTCTTAGTTTGATTCCTCTTTTCTGGCTTCTTCAGTTGTTCTAGCTCCTCTTAAATTGTGGTAGAATAAACTAGAAGCTGTTTCCTAACTGAGATCTCAATACATTGTGCACATCTTAACAAATGTAGTCAAGAAAAGGAGAAAAAATTCTTGGAAATTTTATTTTATTTGGTGAATGTGGTTGAATTCACGTATGTTCCATATAGGTGAGACTTTGCTTCTCCTTGGCATTTCCTGATGGTGGGAATTTAAGAGTATGGTTTTGAGAGCTGGTATTTGTATGCAAATACATGCAGATCTAGCACTACTCTGTTTTTTTCTTAGGGAATGTGGGATGTTTTGCATTAACAAAAATTGCAGTGTACTGTGTGCACACTAGTGCCCTCTCTGGTCACTGACGTTGCACAAAACTGTTACACGTGGAGGTGCAGCCAGGAGTTTGTGCAGCCTCATTTGCTGCAGTCTGCTCTCTCAAGCACCTAGATCCCTTCTCTGAACGCTGCAGGAGTCAGTGAAAACACTAACGGAGGCAGCGACTGCTGTGGAAGCGAGGGCTTTCCTTGGGAAGAGACCGATTTTCCCAGCGTGGCGGAAGTGTACGGCAACCTGTAATGAAAAAGCCCAACAGTTTCTGCATTAGCCCCTGGAAACTGCCATAAAAATTGAACTGTAGCTCACTTTCCCAGCTCCCGCTTCTCACTGGTGTAGGAAACGCACCTCTGAATTACTAAGATGATAAAATTGGATAAGCAACTCGTTGTTGTTGGACTCGAGGCTTTCATGACTTTCCCTGGCTGCCTGGAAGACGCATGCAGAAGTAGAGCGCTACAGAGAATTTAATGCAAAAGACTGGGAGAAGAGAGACGCAGCTCCTCGCAGGCGTAAGACCCGCAGCGAAGGAACCCTTGTCTCCCTGGTGCCGAGAGGAGAAGTCATGACCATGAAACAACTCTCCGTGCCGCTGCCTGCCCTCTTCCAGTGCTGGGGCCTCATCCCCCACGGGGGTGGGTGCCTACAGAACTGAAATGACTGGGGGCTGCCTGACGCCCTCCTCCTTCAGGGTGAGCGTTTGCTGAGCATACGCTATCGCTGGGAGCAGGGAGAGGGGAGCTGGCACCCGAGCGTGCCCTTCGCTTTTCCTCACCTCGTGTGCACTGCCTCTGCGCTGCACTTCTTCAGCATGCTGCAGAAAACCAATGAAACCAGCACACACAAATGGGGATGCCTTAAAAATTGGAGGGAAAATTTGGCTATGGTAGAGCCCAAGACTTTTTTAAAAAGCCCAACAAGCCCCCAAACCCAAACAACACAAAAACCTAAAAGCTTTCTGAAAAAATTCCAAATTCTACTTTTCTCTGAGTATCTTGGTTTCATTTTTGCCCCTTAAGCATTAAAAATATATTCCTCGTGTTTTTGATTTTAGAAGCTGAACAAATTTGAAATGAAAAATACTGTTTCGACATCCATTTTTGGTGGAATTTCCATGCATTGAGTAAATTCCTCCTGCCTCTAATTTCTGTAGAAGTGCATAGGCTTGGATACTGTTGGAATGTATTTACATCTTTATCTACTGCACCGTCCCTCTTCTCCTTGGTCTTTACTATGAAGCATTTAGGACTGTTCATTGTCTGGAAGTTTCTCTCTGCTTCTGTTTTTTGGAGTCTTGGCTCTCTGTCTTCCGAAGTAAACTTGCTTATTCACTTTATCATGTTATCACCTTGCCCACCAGGACAAGACTGTGAGCAAAACAGATGCACATATTTAAATAGACACTTAAAATTTTCCTCTGTGTTTTCTTGGTAAATTTTGTATGCTAAAGATGCCCTGCAATACAGTATTAAAAATGACAGTTGCCCTTTGTTTGCAAGACATGTAATGCTTGTAACACTACAGAGAGGTAACAGTGTGGAGCCTGATACTGGTAAAGACAGAACGGATTGAAAACCAGAATTTCTAAAAGAATTTGGAAAAAAAAGTCTTTGCTGTAGACAATATCGGCCTCTTCCACAGCCTTTCAGCCTGTCAGAGATGCAAAGACTGTCTTTGTTTTTGCTTAGTAGTTACATAAGTTCATCCCTGCAAAAGGCTTTATTTCTACATTTCCCCACACTGATACAAAAATGTGCTATTGTGCTTATAGGTGTGGTACAGTAGGGAACATTTGTAGCCTGGTCTAGTATTTATACAGCTGGTTTACATATTCTGACAGAGTGCTTTTTTAAAAAAAAACAAAAACAAAACAAACCACCTGCAAACTTACAGATTAAAAAAGACTGAGTTTGAAGCTTGTCAATCCTGAATGTCATTTAAAATCTTGACTCTCTTTCTGTGCACAGGTGCAACCTTCCTCCTCTATCCAGTGAATACAGCAAGGATGTTGGATTGAAAACCCAGCTGGTGACTGCAAATCCCAGTATAATTCAGAAAAGGTAGACAGCATATTGTTCCTTCTTTGGTCAGGGGAAACAAAAAGAAAAATGCGTCATCTGTGTTACTGATATTAATGCATCTGAGTTATGTTCTTAACAGTCTTCTGATCATGGAAAGGGATCTGGAAAAGGTGAAATAGGCAATGGCTTGTAATTAGTCAAAATAATTCAAGACTGAACCCTTGATCCTGTCGCTGTAATCAGGGAAACTAAAGGAGGCTGGCTTTTAGAGAGTTACTTCTACCACACTCCCCTCTGCTTCCAGCTCCCTTCCTTTCCCACACGTGGGCATGGGCCAGAGGTGCTTTGGCTGCTCCCAAGCCAGGCACGTACTAACGGGTGGCTCAAACGGCTCTGCTGGTCAGGCCAGATGGCTGCTGCATCCCACAATTAATGAAGATGCTAATTTGGGTTTCTCTTTGATTCCCCACTGACAACATCTCTGTTTTTACTGTCTTTGTATTATTGGTTTGATACTGACTTGTGGGTACAAAGGTGGTTAGGATGGAACTGTTTGGCAGGTTGTCATCATACAAGCCTCACTTTCTTAGGAAACTGGGACAAATTTTGTTTATTAGAATTGGTTGAAATTTTCCAAATGTCAGTAGCTGATGAGAGAGGGGAAGAAGGAAGGGAGAAAAGAAAAAGTCAGAGCCATCTCTCTGATTTTGCCTTTCTGAATTTTAATTGCTATGTTATTTGTTTATCACCCCAAATGAGGTAGGCTGTTCTCAGGCAGAACAAGATCTGGTAGTGACCTGCCATGTTCACTGAAAAACACAGAGAAAAGGCATAAACTAAGGGGATGAACAGGAAATGATTAGGCATAAAGAAATGTATAATGTTGGGTACTGAGAGGTGACGGATTGTGAAAGGAAGCAAAGCAGGGAAATAAAATGAATAATAGAAAGCCAGGTATTTTAGAAATAAGAAAGGCGCAGACTTGGAAATGGATGTTAGTTGGTATTTAAATGTAGTATTTTTCCTCTCTATCAGGAATTGAAGGGTTCTCTAGTTTTGTGTGTGGAAAAGATGACAGTCTTTGAGAAAGTAGAAAAGAGAGGGTGAGCATGAGGGAAATGGAGTAGTAATCATCTTCAAGAGCTGATTCCAGACAGAGAGTGTCTAAATAGGAGAAGGCATAGAAGTGCTTATGGGATGAGATCAACGCATACCAAGTGGAATTGGCAGAGGTTGGCACCAGGTGCCAGGCGAGAAGAGGGAGCTGCTCAGGGCAGTGGGCCTGAAGATGGGGAATCTGAAAATCCTGTGGGATATAGATGGCTAGTGAGGTTGATTTAAGAAGTGGGATGAAATAAGATCAGTTTGGCCATGGCATTTTGGATAAAATGAAGAGCAGCAGTGTGAAACGTGAAGCTTACAGAGGATTTTACAGTTGTCAAGACAGGATTATTGAACTCATGGATATTTATTTTGCACCATCAATGCACAATCAAATATTTATTTTTCCTCCATCAATGCCTAGAGTGGAAAGCTGGCTGTACTTAGTATTTTTGAACAGAAAAGGAAAAGGAAAAAGAGTTTTAGTGATGCTACAGGGAGACTATGGAGCTACACTACAGACACTGTGGTGTTACCCAGCAAGAAGGAAGAGAAGGAGTGAGCATATGGTTGAAGAAGCAGATGGAGAGAGAGAGATGCTACTTTGTGAGAGGGGCATATCACAAGGAGGAATGGAGGGGGAGGGAAATGGAAAAAGAGAAAGGGAGGAAGGAATAGACAGGCAACAGGAAATGGGATTGTGTTCAATGTCCGTTTTCAAAGTGAATGGATGATAACTAAGATGCAAGACCTCTGATGAGAAAGTAATGTGGGATGTATATGCATATGTATTGATTAGAAGGAGATATACTACCAGTAACTGAGAATGACACAGAGAACAAATTCATAGCTCTGAAAATTGGCAGAAACCTCCTCTGAGGCTTGGAGCTCTTGAGAGATCTGACACTTTGCTTCCTCTGCCTGGTCAGGAAGATATTTTTTTTTTATTATTAAATAATAGCTCACTGATGTTTCCTGTCCAAACTCATTATTTTACCTCCTGTGTGTTAAGTTACAGTTGGAAATCTTGGAAGTTAAAACAGAAAAAAAGACTACTGCTCTGTCAACAAATAATCAATTTCTATGTAAGGAAGCTGCTTTTTAAGGAATTAAGACTGCTTGTAAATCCAGACTTTCATGAAATTCAAGGACGTTCAGATTGGTGATTTACATAAATGTGTTTCTAAGCTATAAGTTAACTATCTTCACAGAATAATATTTGTTATCCTTTTTCCCCCTTCCTCTTGTCCTTAGTTTAAGTAGGTTGATATTGATGAGGCTTGACATCTCAATTATCTCTCAAGTGTGTTATGGCAGATTTAGTGAATTGGTCCTGCAACACCATTCATAGATTCTAAAAGATTTATCGTTACCAGATAATTTATGTTGAGGCATGTTGGATAGGGCAAAGTTTTCATACCAGGGATGTGGAGGCAATTTTCTGTGTTGTTCAAAACCCAGAATTATTGCCTTTAGAAAACTAAATTGTTGGCAGTAATTATTGCAGAGTGATATCTGAGCTACCACTGCTTCCTCTAGGCTTACAGCCTTAGAATGGGAGTCAAAATTTTAATCTGGGAGTACATTGACTTTAGAGATACCTTCTAAACATTGCCTTTTGCAAAACTCGGAGATCAAGTTCCTACTCCCTTTTCAGCAGGAAATGTGACTGTGCAGATACTACAGTTTTCACTTGTAAAATATCATGCTCAGTTCTCATTTCGGTTTGAAAAAATGATGAGGACTTTCCTACCCTAACTTTGCTTCAAATAATACAGCAGTACTGACAATAGATGTATTATGATAGAAATTTCCCTGGCTGACTGAGAGAACTCATGATGACTGCCCCAGTTTCTTTTTTTGTCTAAAATATTTCACAGGCATCTCCCTTCAATTAATATTGGAACTCACGGTCCTTCGAGCCTGTGAAAAACTCCCTTTCCACTTTGTATTCAAAACTAACTTCTCTGTCAAACCCTGGCTTGATGTTGCAATTGGGATTGAAATGTCTCATAAAGCCACTCCTGGGGCCACTGCGACCTCTCCCACCCTCTACCCTTCCCCCCCCCCCCCCCCCCTAATGTTGAAGCACTGCAAAAAGGTTGGTGTCTGTGATGTTTCCAGTTCATTCCTCTACCACCCTAGTCAGCTTGGCCTTATCTGTAGGGAACCACTTTGTAGGCAGAAGATTATTCTGTATTTGTCCTGGTTTTTATTTTCTTTCCATGAATAGCTTTTATAAGTCCCTGCCAGGAAAGAGGCAGTGCAGTAGCGAGACCTGTCATGTGCTTACAGCTGTTCTTAGACTCTGGGAAAAACCAACAAGGTTATGTCATTTACAGTGACATAACAATTACAATATTATATATTTCTATATTCTGAACACTTGTCTACAGTTGTTGAGAGGGACTAGTCAGTGGATTGCATGTGAACATAAAGATGCTTAAATAGGTAGTGATGAGTTTTGATCAATGGCATAAGATTTTTGACTAAAATGCAAAGAGTTACTATTTGGGATGTGGATATTGTGTGTTACTGAAGTCACTGGCTCTGAGATCTCTGAGAAGCAAATTCTAGCAATGTCTTACCATCTTCAACAACTCTTGCAAATGTCATAAAATAATACTCTTACCTTTTTGTCTAAACTTTTAATTAAATCTGCAAACAAATGCTGCTTTCAGCATTTTTCCTTTCTAGCCTCCATGTCTACTTACCCTGTCTAACGCATGCACACACACATTATCATTAATGTGGATATAATAGTCCAAATAGGTGGTTTCCCAGCATTGAGTAACTTTCAGATCAACTGATGTTTGTTGATGAGCATTATATCCATGAGCTGTGTGAGTGTTTATGGCCTGTGTAGAAAAAAAATCTCTTTAGAAAATGGCACGATGACTATGGTAACATTCTTTATTTGCCATAATTCATCATCAGTATAACCGACAGAAGCCCCCGAGGTATGTAACGCACACCTCCAAACACCATCTTTGAGACATAATCTGGTAATTGGTTGTATTTTGTTGGTAATTGGTTGAATGGTGTGAAGCTCTTCCCCCCTTCTACTTTCAGGGGTTTTCCCAGCACTGAAGGAGGAAGGAGGCATGGAAGGAGACATGTTGCACGTGGGGGAGAGCAGGCGGCCGGGTGGTTGCTCTGGGGCAGCTGCTGCTGCTGCTCTCAGCTGGAGGAGCGGGTGGAGAAGGGGGGCTCGGGGTCGCTGCCCTCACAACCCCTGCTAGATGATGAGTAATTAGATCTGCTCCTTTCCCTGGAGAAATCCTTCCCTGCCTCCTTCTCACCTCTGAAGCGAGAGCTCGGACTCTTCTGCTACCTGCGCCCTCCATGCTGGAAAGCACATCGGTGCGTGCCAGGAGCAGAGCGTGGACTGATGCCGCTGGTCGAGCAGGAGAGGAGAGCCCTTCTGCTGAAGGGAAGAGCCAGGGTGCCCTTCCCCACCTCCAGCTCGCCCCTGCGGCTGCTTCGGCGCCGCGCGGGTCCCCGAGAGCGGCAGCTCTGTGCGTACAGAGCCCGCTGCTGCCCCTGTTTGATATCCTCTCCGTTCAACACGTAAATCCACCTGGATGAGGACCGGGTCACTCCTGTATGTGTTCAGGGCTTTGGAGTTTACCGTGATCAGATTAACTATGAAAATTTCTGTGAAATACCTGTGCTGGCATTGGCAGGGTAAGGGTGTGGGTGATTCATGTTCCTGTTACTACAGCGTTTCTACTAGAACGTGCCTTGTTGCTTTGAATACTTAAATAAGTGAAGGGTTAGTTGAGGTGGTATCAATCTTCATTCTTTGAAGTGTGATTATTTTTCTTTAAGTCTTTATAGTGGAGTCTCTCAGCAGTTCTGTAACAACGACAGTGGAAACAGTCTGACTGAAACGGGTAACCAGATTTAGGATCAGCCATTACACTTTGCAGCTCAGT